GAAAAAATACAAATAATACTAGTGATAGTTTTGGTGGAGATGATTATTCTTTCATGGTAAGTGAAGGAGCCTCCATGGCTGCCATGTCTAAGTGGATTATAGATTTGGGTGCCACTAAGCACATGACACTATAAAAATGTTCATTTGACACTTATGAAGCAATTCTAGCAACAAAAGTATGGTTGAGAGATAATAGCATGGTACAAGCCAATGAAATTGGCTCCATTGTGGTGGAGATTGTGGTGAAGGACCAAATCAAAAGGATCAAATTGAAGGAAGTCTTACATGTACCAAAGATGAAAAAGAACCTTCTTTTAGTGAGCAAACTTATATCACATGGTTGCAAAGTTCAATTTGACATGGATGGATATTTTGTGAAGATATTGAGTGAACAACATGTTGCCAAAGGCTTTAGAGATGGCAACCTCTACTTCATCAATTCTAAGAAGGTGAATGAAGTTGAAGTGGTGGCATATGTTGATTTTTCACAAAATCAAGATAGTCAATTCAGCTACAATGCTATGACACTTGCTTATGAAAGTTATATCCAAGGCAAATAACAAAGTACTTCATTTCCAAGTAGAATTGCAACACGTGCAAGCAAATTGTTGGAGATGGTTCATTATGATATTTATGGACCAATGAAGATACCATCAATTGAAAGAGCAATATACTTTGTGACATTTATTGATGATTTCTCAAGAAAGGTGTGAATATATATATATCATTAAAGCCAAGAGTGAGTGTTTCTCAAGGTTTAAAGAATTCAAGGCACTTATAGAAAAGTAATATGAGTGCAAGATGAAAGTGTTGCACATAGACAATGGAAGTGAATACATGTCAAAGCATTTTGATGAATTTTTGAGAAATCGAGGCATTGCAAGACAAACATCTACTCTTTATACTCCACCACAAAATGGAGTTACTGAAAGAGAAAATGGCACCATTGTAGAGATGACAAGGAGTATGTTTCATGCACAAAACCTTCAACATGAATATTGGCTAGAAGTTGTGGTCAATGCACTGTATACAACGAATAAATATCTGATAAGTGCACTCACATTAATGACTCTACAAGAAGCTTGGAGTAGCAAGAAACCTTATGTTTTACACATGAAGATCTTTGGATGCATTGCTTATGCAAAGAAATTAGATTGCATGAGATCCAAACTTGATGCAAAAAGAAAAAAATGTATATTTATTGGATATTGTAAAGGTACCAAAGCATATAGGCTCATGTGTTTAGAAACCAAGAAAATCATTAAAAATTGTGATGTAGAGTTTTTCGAGCACAAGAGTGCTTGTGAGTACTTAAAAATGTGTCCAAGTAGGAGTAATGGTGTGTTTGTGGACACATCTTTAAATCTAGCAATAAAAGAAGAAGAAGATGATGATAATAGCGAAGATGGTAGAATTTCAAATCAAGATGAAGAATCAAAGAAGATAGATTATGAAGTACCTACAATTGCTAAAACCAGCAATGAAAACAATCAAGATGTTGAAGATGATGATGGTGATGAGGAGTACTAACCTTTAAGTGTGAAGAAACAAGTTTTAAGAAAAAAGAAGATTACAAGAGCTATTGGAGTGCATGAAGGTGAATCTTCATCAAGTGAAAGGAGATATCTTTTAAGAGATCGAAAACAACTTAGTGCATGGTGGGAGAACCACATCTTTCTTCAAGTAAATAAAGAACATGCTAATATTGCACTCCTTGCTGATCCATTGAGTTTGTGTGATGCAATGAAGTCCACGAATACTATGAAGTGGAAAAATACCATGGAAGAAGAGTAAAAATCACTCATGGACAATGGAACATCGGAATCGATTCAACTTCTATCAAATTGATCTTCAATTGGTTGTAAGTCGGTGTTTAAAACCAAAAGGGATGCAATGGATAATGTTGTGAGATACAAGGCTAGGTTGGTTGCCAAAGGATATTTACAAGTTGTTGGAATTGATTTCAATGAGACATTTGCTCCCATGGCCAAATTCACCACCATTAGAACTATTATGGTAATTGGGATAGCAATGGACTTGGAGATGCATCAAATGGATGTGAAGATGGCTTTCTTGAATGGAAAGTTGGAAGAAGACATGTACATGGATCAACTTCAAGGATTTGTTGAAGATAGTAAATAAGACCTTGTTTATATGTTGAAGAAATCCTTATATGGGCTCAAACAATCTCCAAGGGCATGGTACTAACATATTCATTCTTTGTGAATGAAAGGTTTGTAAAGAATGAAGCTAATCATTCATTGTATGTGATGTAATCAAATAAATTCATATCGATTATCATCATCTATGTTGATGATTTGATCATCTCAACCAATACTATAAAGATGATGGATTGGTTGAAGGCAAAGTTAGAAAAAGAGTATGAGATGAGTAATTTGAGAGAACTTCACTATTGTTTAAGAGTGGAGTTTGTGAGAGATTGGGCTAAAAAGACCATTACAATGAGCCTAAGTAAGTACATTGAAGAGGTGTTGAAATGATTCAACATGGAGGACTATTTGCCTATTCAAACACCTTTGGAAGCCAATTTGAAGTTGATGAAGGTCATGGAAGAAGAATTTACTGAAGTTGAGGGAAAAATGCAAGGTGTTCCATATAAAGTAGCAATGAACTCATTAATGTATGCAATGGTTGGCACAAAGGTGGATCTTGCATATGTTGTGAGTATTGTGAGTCAATACATGTCAAATGTTAGACCAATCCATTGAGCAACAATCAAAAGGATCATGAAGTACTTAAAACGTGCTTTGAACTTCAAATTATATCTTGGAAGTGATAACATTACTATGTATGGTTATTGTGATGCGTATTGGACTGAAGATGCAAATGATAGAAGGTCAACAATCGGATATGTATTCTTTGTTGAAGTGGGAGCAATTTCATGGAATTGCAAAAGATAACCAACAATTATAAGATCAACAATAAAAGTGGAGTACATGGCAACAAGCTATGGTGCAATGGAAGCAATATGGCTAAGACAAATTTTGGAGGATATTGGAGATGTACAAAAGAAAACAACTCTAATAAAGTGTGACAACCAAGGATAACTTGTATTTACAAAGAATCCAAAGCATCATTCAAGAACCAAGCACATTGACATTCAACATCACTTCATAAGAGATAAGATTGAAATGGAAATGATTGATATGAAATATTGTGCAACAGAAGACATACTTGCTGATTTGTTGATAAAAGAAGTATTAATAAAAGATAGACACCACATATTAACAAAGGCATTAAGATTGAAAGTCTTTTAACCAATAGCAAAGTGGGAATGTTGAAATAAAAATGAAAGTAGAATAAATTACTTTATAGAGGATATTACCTTAGATAAATTACTAATGGTTAAAGAGTTGATTTTTGATATATAAAAAAGGCATCCTATCAATATAGGACGAGGTCAAGGACCAAGAATCAAAGTCAAGAGGATAAAGATTGAACTAAAGAATATCCAGAGACTAAGTAAGAATAATTAGTGTTTGGCATAAGATATCTTTGTAGTTAATAAGATGTCAAAAGATCCAAAGATCATAAGATACCCTCGAGGTACATTAGATACCAAAGGATTCTAAAACCATAGATCATGCATATAAAAATCAATGAGTGAAAATTATCTTATAAAGCAGCAACCACAACCTATAAATATTAGGTGTTGAAAATGAAAAACATCTTACTCTATACTCTTTGTATGTACAACCTTATTGATGCTATGTGTTGTGACTTCAAAGTTCTATTTTTTCAATAATTTTAAACATCATAAAAAAGACAAAAACTTAATAATATAATATATTCTATTTTTAAAATGCTCAAATGTGCTCCAACCATTACTACTAACCTTGTACTTCAAATGTATAATGACTACAAACTTTAATGAAAAATTTAAATTAAAATGACTACTTTTTGAAATTGGTATTTTGACTACTTGAATGCATTGCTAGCACATTAATGCACCAAATATGGGTAATTTCAAACTTCTTACTACACAAAAGAAAGAAATATACTCAACAATGGAACATGATCAGAATCTGGGAAGCCTTGGTTAGTAAACATTTGGCCAGAGTTGGCAATCAATGAAGAACTAACTAGGATTTAAAATACATTGATCCCAACACCATGAATGAGATAAAACCAAGTTCTAACCAGAGTGACAGCAACAAAAAAAATTGAGTGGACAAATTGAGGGGCCTGGAGTGGACTGCAAAGCATTCTCAAATCTCACAAGCTGCTCGCCCTGTATCTGTTTGTAGAGTGTGAGAGAGAGCGAGAGAGAGAGAGAGAGAGAGGTATTTGCACTTTCCATGAATGCCATTCTGTTTCTTCTAACTTTCTCCTATTTGCAATAAAGATGTCTCCAGAATACATGTGCTTGTGCACTCCATGCACAGTGAAGCACCGACAACAAGCACCATGAGGTTGTGTGTGTTTCAATAATTATGTGTGATGACCCACAAACTGACTGGAAGGAATAGTAGTTTCACCTCAGACATGCAGCTCCGGTTGAATGACGAATTGTTGGTGGATGAAGCACGGACAAGCATGCAGAGCAACATCACCAGAGACAAGTTGAATATGTTTCAAGGGGTGCAGCTCAAGGGTGCTCAGACCATCCCATAGCTGCCACCGACAAATAAGTTTCAGACTGCAGCATAAGGACAAGTACTGACTGAAGCCACTGATTTCACGTGCGTGCAGCAATTCATAGGATCAACGACATGATGGATTCATGAGTTAGATCAAGCTTCAGAACCCACACGCTGTCGTGCGTGGTGCATGAATCGACATAGCCTTCGGTACGCATAGCTCTTACAGCAATGGAATGGGAGTACACGATCTGACTCACCTTTGCGGTTCAGTCTGGAACCACTAGAGTAACATGCGTTGAATATGTAGGAGTACAGTTGTTGGTTTAGGTGTTCTGCAGAAATGGCCTCCCGTAAACCTGGTCGATTCCTTGGAGTGAAAAATTACTCAGTTGAGAAGAAAAAGAAAAAGAAAATGAGTACGAGTACAGAAGTACCCATCCCTCCGCCTCTTAATGGGAATGCTCATCAAGCTACAACACGTGAATTTTTGTATGTTACAAATCAGTCTCGAAGTGTCTTCCAATTTTCTAAGCTATTGCACGTAACGAAGACGATATGTTCTGGGGTCTGAAGGATCGAAGGGTTGAGGCTCTGTAAGAAAGTGGACGCCCACTAAATTCTCTGGAACCACGGCATTGAGGTCCAGGTCGAGGCTGGTGAGCAAAAGAGAGCGAGATCCGAATTTGTCATTCGGCCGCCATTGCACTTCACGTGCAGTGCTGAAAGCATCTGACAATGGTGGAAACCGATGCGATGATCCGGGAGGAGGTATAGGGACCTCCAGCCAGCGAATGTTCTGAGGATCGTCCCCTCCAGACCGGGCCACGAGGATCAAAAGCTTCTGGTGTTCGACAAAGTCCCAATCGTAGCGAAAGTTCGTGTTCTGATACACATTGAAGTAGACGAATAGACACAGCAAACCCACTTCAACACGGATGCACTCCCTCGTCGGTAGCTTCAATTCGTAAATTCTAAACTCCACGACTCCGCAGTTAGTGATTTCGTTCTGTAAATTTTGGGTTCCCTGTTCGGATGTGGCACAGAACAATCGGTCGTCGTAAGTCAGCATCTTGTACCTGTCCGCTTGGTGCATGAATATCCCTGTGCGAAGTAGCGTCATAGTACTCCCTGGTCCAGCGACATCGTACCCTACAACCTCGAGATCTCTGGAGATTGTGTAGAAGGTGTCTCCCCAGAATGCCCCGCAAACATGAGCTGCACAATTGATAAGCTCAAGCAACGGTTTGAAGAGGTCGGATCTTGACTCGTAAAGATAAACGACACGTCTTCGCAGAGGAAGGTCTTCCCCAAGAACGTAAACCTTAAAGTCACGAGACGCCTTGTCTACTCGAATGGCAACTTGTCGAGCAACCAGTTTGTGCTCCTTCAAATCGGGCAGAAGCTTCCACTTCTTGGTCAGAGGGTTACAAACAACGATGACATTCCGAATCGGCCGGTTCAGTGCACACACGCAAAGGAGACCGCCGTCCGAGCTGACTGCATTGATTCTATCGCACATGGTCGCTACGAACACTCTGTGAAGGAAAGTGAGATCAAGGCTCAGCCATTTCGTCCCGTTCGAGCTCAGCACTGGAGTTAGACGAAGGTCGTCCACGTAGCGCATCGCCACGAGGAAGGGGCTTTGCGAGGTGGGATGCACGCACGACCTGCGGAAAGAAACCGAGAAGGGCAGCTGGTGCCATTTCTTACAGACAGATCTAAGGCGGAAGATAGCCTCGACGGGAAGACGCGGCACTACGTGCTCCAAAATCTCGGGAGGGATGTGTTGCCACACATCGGAGTCGAGACTCGGCGACGCCATAGCCAAGTACCGAACCCACTAAACCCTTCCAAATTAGCAAAGTGGACAGCACTAAAACTGCTCTACACCTAGACCAATCCTCCCAACCCCTCTGACCCCCCAATGCTTAACTCCAACGACAAATCAACCATCACAAACAGGCTCCTTATCTGACTAAGCCCGCAGGCTCCCTCGAGATGATCCAACAAGCTCAAACAGCAGAACCACTGCAAGTTTCCCTTAAAAATACAAACCAAACAGGATGCACAATCTCCACATCCCGGATTCAGTTTCTTCCCACGAAGACCCCAGCCTTGAGCGCAAAGCCAACCCCATCTTCCTGTCCACGTCTTGTCGAAATTACACCTCGGCCATCAGGCTTCACCCGATTGTCGAATGCCGATAAAGGCAAAACCAAACTGAGCTTGCAGCATATCTAGAAGCTCCTCACACCCAGGACAGCTAAAAAACAACGATATGTGGCTTTCCGTTCCCCTGAGGTAAAATACACACACTTATGACTCAACCGACTGTCTGCAACAGAATGTATCCGAAAGTGGCGTGCCGGGGCTTGCTTTGTCGGTACTGCCGTTTCCGCACCCGAACTTGCGGATTTCTGCTGCTTGCTTTGTGCGTTTTATACGCTGTTGGCACAAACGACAAATTGGGTACAGTTTGGAAAGAATCTCGGAGAAGTATTCATGTTGGAGTCTGTCTGTTGCTTGAACACAATATTGTTTTCAGCTCAATTGAACATCGAGTGTGGATTTCCCTAGCTGCCATGGCTGCATGAGCGTGAAAGATTTGGAGGTGCTTGTATGGATCATTTCAAAATGCTTTTTTTTTTTTTTTTTTTTTTTCTTGACATAAGTTGTAGGGTTTAAATAGATGCATTGAAAGTTCCTCAATCAAATATCAGTTACTTTGTAACAATTCTCTGTTCTTGTAATATGTCCTAAGTGTTTATATTTGAATGTGTTACAAGCTTGACTAGCAAATTATAACATGTTGTACTTGAAACATTTATTGTTGGATTGTATATGTCGGCAATATATCATTTCTAGACAAATTTAATGTGCAAAACATACATATTAGAGGATATAGTTCAGAATACTTTTTTATTTTACTTTTAGATAAGCATATTCCTACGTGTTTATACGATGTTTACAACTCCGTGAAATTAAGTGTTGGATTTTCTTGTTTACCTATGATCAAAACTCTTTAGTAGTATATTTTCATTACCATCTCCCTGTATTTTTAATACTTACACACATTATCTTCACTCTTACAGACAAAAAAAATATAACAAAAATACGTCAAAAACCATTGTGCGCACATCCAAGTTTTGACATTTTCAAGACAAGTCCCAAGAAGCTGCAAGATTCCAATATTATGATGATTTAAATTGGTAACATTCTTCAAAATCCTTTAAGAATTGGTAATCCTTCAAATAAATCTCCAACTTCTATACGTAGAAAACCACTTGCAAAAGTGTTGAGAAGTGAAGATGTGCACACATGATGTATGAAAGGACGCTCGGCACCTCATGTTAAAAGAAATGCAAAAATTATGAGGAATTATCCTTCTCAATCCCAAATTTAGACGGTTGAAACAAAAAAGATGCTATCTTCTCATGGGAGAGCCAGAGAGAGGAAAGAAATAAAATAAAACAAAACAAAGTACACGTTCCCGCATCAAATGAAAAGAACATTCTATCATACGACACGACCATGAACTCAAGAAAAATAATATTCTCACGACTTGCCCAGACTTAAATTGAATACAGACAAATGTGTACAATAGGATTTGAAAACAGGAAATCGCGAAGTGTCCTGTACCTCATCCATGCGATCAATTCCGTAATCCTGTCATCAGGTTAAAAAACGCTCTGGTGAAGGATAACAGTCGGACGCCACCACGGGAAACAACCGACAACAGATCGGCAAGGGCCTTAAAATGGCATAAGATACCAAAAGTGCAGTAGTTCCCGTGGAGCTGCATTAGACTGGAATTGAATGCAGGCAATAGAAATGGACCGAGTGCCTCAAAAAGCGGCGTAGTGGTCCCATGTTCAGACACTACAACTAAAACCCAATCAAGTAGCTCAATAGGTATGAGGGCTTTCAGGTAGAACATTTCTATCTCCTTCCTAAATAAATGTCATCAGTGATTTCTATTTACGGAAAGTAGACATCTACTGTCTGCAGCTCATCATGTATTCTAAACTAACAGAGCTTTGCAAAAGAGGTGGTTAGTGCAAAAAAAACAACCCCTCTTTCATACTTACCCAGGGACTTCCAGGTCCCATCTAAAAGGACAATGTCCACACCCTGTGTCTAGTCTGGTCATTGACAGGTTTCACATAAGAACCTACATGGAGTTCCTTCTCCACACCGGTATGCGGAATATAAGAAACGAGGCTCTAGATACAAGCAAAATGGAGCCCCACCACCTCATCTGCTTCCGAGGACAACCATGCTTCTGTAGCTCATGCAAGGGCTCCTCCGATACAGAGCATCTCGTAGACCTCGTCACCTTCAGTGGTCAGCTTCAAGCTTGTCTTATCATCCATACAAAAAAGGAAGAAACAAATTTTTTAAAAACCCAAAAATAATCAATAAAAAAATGCTCAATTCCCCCCTTTTCTACTTTTTCACTTTTCCCTTCTTTTCCGTTTTCCCATTGCCTTCAGCATTTTCCTTCGCCGCCTATAAACAGAAAGTAGTTTCAACGCTCAGAAGCCGCTTCCTCGGATAAACATGATTTTTTCGGGAACATCTTCTGAAATCGCACGTTACCATCCAATTTGTTCATGACTTCACACAGCCGTTAAAAAAAAATTGCCTCTAACATCCTTGATAACGGCCACATCCTTCACCTGGTGGAAGCCAAAAAAATGCACATCATAAGTCAAGTGTGCCAATAGCTGATGTTTAAGGAATCAAATAGACACACTGCCAGGTTCAATTCATCCACTAGATATACAAACAGCGCAACCTAAAACAAACAAAACAACCTTACAACATAAACCCCCTTTTATGGCAACCAACACGAATGCTTAAAATGCACGACAATCGACACAAATTTAATAAAAAAATTGGAAGAGAATGACGACCTTTGCGAGGAGTGAATTTACACTTTCCACTCCAAAAGATGAAAGGTCGAGCGTCCGGGCATAGCGTTGTTGGTACACTCTGATAAAATTCTCATAAGGAATCTGGTAGGAATACACAACTAGAAGTTCCTGCAGCTGTCGCCTAAAAGTTTGCAGGTTTGTCTGATGTGTCAAATTAACATCTGGAGTTATGAAGTCTTCCACCTTAATTTGATCCTGTAAGTCGCCACACTCTGAATTAGAAACACACGGATAAAACAAAAAATCTCTTGTAACAAGTAAAGCTTATAAGGGTATATTCCAATTTATACTCTCAAACGTTTGTTCGTTTGTTCATTTTATCATTACTTCATTCATATGTTAACTTAGTATTATCTTTTATTTGTCTACCCAGACTAATTGTGGCCTCCCGAAACGTTTCTAACATTATAATACAAAAAAACACAATAATGTGCTTACCTCTTCAACATCGACAACAGGCTCATATTTTCTTGCATCAACATTATTCTTGACATCAACTGGTACAGGAATCCAGTCCGAAGATTGAACTACGATTGTCTCATCCATATTCTCGTCCATATCCATACCAAGCAGATACCTCTTGGCTTCAACAGGTTCAGAAAATGGAACCTTCTCTGTAACCTTATCCACTTCAAGCAAACTAGTTTTGCTCAAAACATCAGTTGCAAACTCTATTTTGGCTACATCCTTCTCAAGTTCCTTGCTAGGAGGCACGGACCCTTCAGGTTCGGAATCTTCACTCGTATCCCTGACATCATCAAGATGAGATCGTCACACATAAGTCAACAAATTCTTCCCAAGGCAACTCTATATGTTCACACCACTCCTCAAAACTTAGTAAGTTACCGCTACGCCAGATTAACGATGGAAAAATTAATTAATGAAACAAAGACAAAGTGAAATATACTAACTTGTCTTTGTCGCCTTTAGGAGCAGAAGCTCGATTGCTGGAAGGTTTGTACTTGTTGGTGACACGGCCCGCTTCCTTCTTCAACACATGCAAGGTCTTATTTGTGCCGTCTCCTTTAATGAGTAAGGCATCCTTCATCTTGTCTATGAGATGAACTAGTCTCTGTGCATTGTATTCAGACAGATAGAGAGGTCGTCCAAAAAGCTTGTTATACTCAGCAGGCACCTTAGAGAGCATCATCTGCCCGCCATTCAGGTTTAGAAGCTGCACAAGCTGCCTCTTCAATCCTGTCAAATCACCTGGCTGAACCCATAAGGGTTGACTTCCGCCAGGGCTGGTGGGCTCTTCAGACTCTCCTGGTTGCATTCCACTGTCAGAAGAAGAAATGCCAGACCTGCCCCTGCTATCCACAAATCCCCCAGAAACTTGATTCCTCAATTGTCCCGAAGAAGCAGAATGTGAGGTGCGATAACCTGAAATCCTTGGTCCTTGAGGTTGCACCTGTCCGGGCATTACATATTGCTGATGCCCATAATCCACAGGTTGTACATTGTATATAGGATTCGTTATACCTCCCCAAGCCAATATATCTTCTCCATACACATCATCGTCAATGCGAGGATCTGATTCTTCTGTGTAAAGGGGTCTCATGTACTCTGGGTAAGAGTCCTGAAACTGACTTACAGGTATTCGATCTACGTCTGTGTAGATACTAGTCGGCACTCGACCCTGGTTGCGATCGTCCACAGGACACAGGTTATTGAACTGTCGACCTTGTCTCTGAGGATTTTGCAATCCTTCCCCACGACACAGACACGGCCAATCGTACACAAAGCGACCAGCACCCCTCAAAGCTGAAGAGACCCCCACTCCATCCGGAATGACGAGAACCACCACATATCCACGCTGACCGAGCTTATGCAAGGCAGGAGCGAAGTCCACATCCCCTGTGATGAGGAAAATGGTTGATGGAGGCGGATTGTCAAGTGCAAATAAGAACATATCCACCAAGATAGCCTTATCAGCAGCATCCTTCTTACCATTCGGCACGTCGATCAAATTAACGCCTGTTCTTTGGCATCCTTCGCGAACCTTCCTTGGAAAGTGATTAAAATCACCATATGCAGAGAACATTGTAACAGCTCCGACATGAGGATGCTCCCGCAAAGCAATCCTGATGTTGCCTGCAACATCCTCAGCGTTTACTTCCCCTGGAACGGGACAATTTTCGATATCCCAAAGAATGGCTACGGGGCATGAAGTAGGTTGCAACGGAGGTGGAGCCCGAAGTTGTTGCTGCATGTTATTTGCTCGATGTTGCTGTTGAGCTCTAGCAATTGCAGCACTGTCCATGCCTGGTGGCTGCCTAGACGGAGTCAAAGACCGTGAATAAGACGCCATTTTATTCCTAAAACTGCGATGGACGATTGAAAATTCACTCCCTTCCAACTGCTCTAATCCCGACCAAGACTATCAATAAATAGGTAACAAAACGACTCAGAAGTTTGGGGCTTTCACTTTAGCCAAATTCTAAGACATAAAAACAACTAAATAAACAACTGACGTCCACCCTAAGCCGATCTTCCAGTTACTTTCTACGTCTCCACTGTACTTAGAAATGCCCGGGAATTCTTATTCAGTAACCTTCGCCTTAGTTATTTGCAGCGCGCATGTCCAGCAATTTGTCATTTGCAAGTACAGGATTACAAAGAACATATCATCTACAGTTCAAGCAACAGAATAAAGATAAGGCTTCCATCTCAAATGTGGCACAAAAATAACGCACACACACACACACACGCACACGCACACACAGTATATTGCCAAAACAAACTATGGACATTAAACTGTTTGGCAACCGGAAAAGTGACTGCGTCCAAAGGTCAAATTTTAATTTCTTGTGTTAATAATTAGACTTCCAGGAAGCCATAATAGGTGACGCCGAAATGAGCCACAAAAAAACGAAAATTGATTCCCATTGCGCATAATTGATCAATTTTAAGGAAGAGGAAGTAGAGGGAATCACATCCACAATAGCACGAAAACAGGTGAACTAAGAAACACCGAATTAATACACGGTAATTTAAGCCAACTGAACCAGACACATAACATACCCTAAAAGATACAGAGCTGTTCGCAACCCACCAAAACTATGCGAGAACACAAACTAGAAAATCCCTACATCTAAACGTCTAGTCGTTTAACTAGCGAGAAATTTTACCAAGAAATACCTCCAGGCAGTGCATCAAAAATATGTCACTTGAACCAAAAAGTAACTGCCAAAATGCCCATGGAAAATCTGCTCTCTCCCTCTTATTGATCGCAATCAAACGCCCCAATTGTCAAGCCACGATAAACCTCTATTCGCCATTATCTTCGCTAGCTACCCGATTTCCATCTAATCAACTTACTAATTCCACAAAATTCCGTCAGCAACGACCATCGGCGCCCTTATCCAACCATAATCACTTTCCCAAGCACATTCACTTAAAATTGGCCCCTAAAATCAGACTTCCGGGAGCAGTGCAAACCGCACCTACCACATTCAGCTTCCTAAGGCGGGTTCGACAAACCCCAGCGTCCACGGCCACGTAAGAAATAGCCTGCAAAACCTCAATCATCCTTGCCATTCTCAATCTCTGGACCACCGCCTACAATGAACTTAACTCTCCTGACCCTCCTGCCCCGACCAGGAGTAGGAGTCTTCACCGCCCTACCGCTTCAATTGGCTACCTCCTACGACCCCCGCATATCAAATCGAAGCGCAGCGAGCAAGCAATCTATCAGACAGCGTACCTGACGCAGTGGATGCGTGGATGCATCGCAAAATCCCCCGTCACCCCAACCAACCGCCCCGACCTCTCTCTCTCTCCGCT